AAATTTGTTAGTCTCTAAGGTGCCACAAGTACTCCTGTTCTTTTTGCAGATATTTTTAGGAAAAAATATCTGCTACATGCCATGATTATTTATTTTGTTTTGTTTTATTTACAGATATTTAATCTAAAATGCTGTTGTCAATAGGAATGTTAATGTTGTCTGCCACTCAGATCTACACCATCCTGACAGTTCAGCTGTTTGCTTTCCTAAACCTTTTGCCTGTGGAGGCAGACATTTTAGCGGTAAGTGTAATAAATGTTTTTACATGCAAATGAATGGGAATTTCTTTCAGATTTTCCTACTTATACATCATATCATGCGATACATTTTAAAACATTATCAGTGCAAAGTTAATAGTACCTATAGATTTTACCAATTACATCAAGACTTTTCAGAGAAGGTTAGGGTTAGAGTTAGGTGCTGATATCTTTTTGAAATTCAGTGTGAGTAAGACACCTAACTCCCTTCGGATCGCCTACCATAGATCTTTAAAAAGAACTCCCCACTGATTTAATTTAATGGTCAAAATAAGTAGATAGCTAGCAGACCATAATACATTCTACAATCAAGAGCTTTTACAAGTTTGGGGTTTTATGCAGAAAACTGAAAATCTGCCAAGAGCTGTTTTTGCCGTGTTTATTAGAGACTTGTATGGTACCCACCCACTAGGGCTATAGAAAAAAAAAGAAGTCACGGGGAACAGGAAAGTGTGGCTTACGCAGTTTTAGAGCTGTTATGCAATGTTGCATATGTTGACTCTCAGCTTCCACAAAAAGAAAACATTTTAGAACGTAACTGTTTAAACTGAGTACCTTTACTCACTTCCCTGTGAACTAAAATCTTTGTAGGGTGTTAAGGATTCCCTCCCTGGAGACATTTTAAAAGCTGGTTCATTTCAAAGTGAAGAAAATCCTCTCTTTGGAAGCATGTTCATGAGGCATAGCAAGATATACCCTTTGCTCAAAGTGCACTTTGGCTACAGCCAGTTTTTTGCAAATCTGGGTTAGCATTTGTGCTTGAATTGAAGGAGAGGTTTTCCCAACATTTAGTGGAATTCATCTTTCTTTTTTGTTATTGTTAAATCATTCCAAATAAAGGAAGACTCTAGAGAACTTTGAGTTTATTACATGGAATAAAGCTCTTCCACCTGACATACTACATCAGATTGGGTTGGGTAATATGTGGATGAAAGAACACCAGAAAACCCTAGGGACTGGAAGCAGCAGTGTTTATGATTCATTAGTATAGTGTTAGGAGGCACTATGTATAGTACATTTTTGCCCTAAAGAATGTGAGGTTTTTCTTGTGTTTTCAATTTGATACATGTTACAGATCTGATTTTCTTTTATATTTATGTTTAGTATAACTTTGAAAATGGAACTCAGACATTTGATGATCTACCAGCAAGGTTTGGCTACAGACTGCCAACTGAAGGCTTGAAGGTAAGAAGCAGCATCTCTTAATACACAAAGTATAAGCTAAAACAAAATTGTTACAATGTATTTTGTGTGCTATGTTGAAAATAACTTTGTCAACACTAGCTTAAAGATAGATTTATAATTTTCACAGATATACTTTAATAGTGGACTAAAAGAGGATGTATGAGGGGTTACCATCTTCAAGCACACCCCCTTCTGTCCATGCAGGAACACAGCCCTCACCTCCCTGTTGGTGCTTGCAATCATTTACTCTGACCCAGATACTGAGAACAAGTCCTTTGGTGGGTTCAATTTATTAACTTTTCTAGAGTACAAAGGATCCTTCTTTTAGCCCCTCAAGTCCAACCCTTCATTTAGCTCTAGGGCGAATGACAACAAGCATCCCACGAGTTTTTCTTCGAGTGATTGCTCATGAGTATTCCACAGTAGGTGTGTGTGCTTGCCACGTGCACCGGTGCCGGAAGTTTTTCCCTTAGCAGTACCCATAGTGGGGGAGCCCCGCTGGGACCCCTGGAGTGGCACCTCTATATAGCACCAAAAAGGGGGCTGCGCGCTCCCCCCACCCTCAGTTCCTTCTTGCCAGACAACTCCGACAGAGGGGAAGGAGGGCGGGATGCGGAATACACCTGAGCAACACATCTCGAAGAACGCCAGTTACGGAACAGGTAACTGTCCTTTCTTCTTCGAGTGATTGCTCATGTGTATTCCACAGTAGGTGACTCCAAGCTATACCTGATGGAGGCAGGTAGGAGTTTAAGGGTTACCCGGGCGGAGCACCGCCCTACCAAACCCGGCGTCATCCCGCGTTTGGGAGACGATCGCATACTGCGATGAAAAGGTATGGACAGAGGACCATGTAGCAGCCCTGCAGATGTCCTGAATACGGACATGAGCCACGTAGGCAGCGGACGAGGCCTGAGCTCTCGTCAGATGAGCCTTCACTATAGGAGGCGGGGGAACCCCTGCCAGGTCGTAACAAGTGCGTATGCACGAGGTGATCCAGTGGGAGATCCGCTGGGTGAAGACCGGTCGCCCCCTCATGTGCTCGGCCGAAGCAATGAAAAGCTGAGGGGATTTACGGAATGGCCTGGTTCGGTCTAAGTAAAAAGAGGGCGCTCTACACACATCTAGCATGTGCAGGCGTCGTTCCTCATTGGAGGAATGGGGCTTAGGACAGAGGACAGGGAGGAAGATGTCCTGATCCATGTGAAAAGCCGAGACTACCTTCAGCAGAAAGCCTGGGTGCGGGCGGAGCTGGACCTTATCCCTATGGAAGACTGTATACGGGGGTTCGGAGGTCAGGGCCCTAAGCTCCGAGACTCGGCGGGCTGAGGTGATAGCCACCAGGAATGCCACTTTACACGATAAGTGGGACCATGAACACATGGCCAGAGGCTCGAAGGGAGGCCCTGTGAGGCGGGAGAGAATAAGGTTCAGGTCCCAGAGCGGGATCGGGGGTCTAGCGTAAGGGAATGCCCGATCTAGCCCTTTCAGGAACTGGGAGGTCCTGTGGTGTGAAAACACCGAGAGGCCGAAATGGCCGCCAGGTGCACCCTGACCGAGGAGGGCGCCAGCCCTTGGGTCCTAAGGGACAGGAGGTAATCAAGGATGAGCTGGATAGACGCGGAGGAGGGGGAAGAACCCCTCTCCCTTGCCCACATGGAGAACCGATACCATTTGGCCAGGTAGGTTCGACATGTGGACGGTTTCCTGCTCTCAAGCAGGACCTGTCTAACGTCCTCAGAACACCTCCCCTCCTCCTCATTCAACCACGGAGCAGCCACGCTGTCAAATGGAGCGCGGCCAGGTTGGGGTGGAGGAGATATCCTCCCTCCTGGGAGAGGAGGTCCAGTCGGAGCGGCAGCCTGCACGGGGGGCCACTAAAAGCTGCAGGAGGGTCCCGTACCAATGTTGACGGGCCCAATCCGGGGCTATGAGGATAATCCGAGCCCCGTCTGCCTTTACCTTCTGTAGGACCCTGCCTTTCGGGGGAAGGGCGGGAAGGCGTAGAACAGGCGGCCTGACCATGGGATTAGGAACGCGTCCGATATCGCCCCTTCGCCCTCTCCCGCCCTGGAGCAGAATCATGGGCATAGGCGATTCTGGACAGTGGCAAATAGATCTACCTGGGGAGTTCCCCACTCTAGGAAGAGCTGCCTGGCCACCTCCCTGTGCAGAGACCACTCGTGTTGTTGGGAGAAGAACCTGCTTAGGCGATCCGCGAGCGTATTGCGCCTGCCGAGCTGGGCTTCCTGGCACAAGGCCCCGGAACGCGTGCCCCCTTGCCTGTTGATATAATACATCGCGGTCGTATTGTCCGTGAGGACTCTGACCACCTTCCCCCCTAGGTGCTGGCTGAAGGCTACACACGCCAGGCACACCGCCCTGAGCTCCCTGACATTTATGACCATCTGCCCTGGGTGACCATCTGCCCTGGGTTTTGAAGCTCCCCACATGGGCTCCCCATCCCAAGTCCAAGGCGTCCAACACCAGATCTAGTGAGGGAGGGGGCTCCCTGAAGGGGATACCCTGAAGCACGTTGCTTGGGAGGGACCACCATTGCAGGTCGGCCACTACATTGGGTGGCAACGTGACGACCTTGTCCAGGCCGTCCCTGGCCTGGGAATACTGGGAGGCCAGCCAGAGTTGGAGGGGCCTCATCCGGAGCCTGGCATGTCGCACCACGGAGGTGCATGCTGCCATATGGCCTAGGATTTAAAGGCACACCCATGCCGTCGTCACCGGAAAGGTCGTGACCGAGGTGATGAGACCTTTGAGCGTCTCGAACCTGTCCCGGGGGAGGGAGTCTAACAGCGCCCCTATGAAGTGTATGCGCTGAACCGGGACTAACGTGGACTTTTCCTTGTTCACCAGTAGGCCTAGACTCTTGCAGGTATCTAGCAGGAATTCTATCTGCCCCTGCACCTGGGACTGAGACTTGTCCTTGAGCAGCCAGTCGTCCAGGTAGGGAAAGATCTGCAGCCCGTTCCTCCTGAGGTGGGCTGCCACCACCGCCATGCATTTGGTAAAAACCCTGGAAGCCGTGGAAAGGCCAAAGGGAAGGACCGTAAACTGGTAGTGGTCTGTCCCTACCAGGAAGCGGAGGAAGCGCCTGTGACCCTCGAAAATGTGGATATAGAAGTACGCATCCTGGAGGTCCAGGGATGCGAACCAATCCCCCGGGTCCAGGGACAGAACAATAGAGGTCAGGGACACCATACGGAATTTGCAGCGAACGAGAAACTGGTTGAGATTCCGTAGGTCGAGGATGGGCCTGAGCTCGCCTTTCACCTTCGGGATCAGGAAATACCAGGAGTAAAACCCTTTGCCCTGGAATTCCCGAGGTACCCACTCCACCGCGCCTAGGGCGAGAAGGCGCGTCACCTCCTGATTTAAAAGGAGGGCGTGTTCCGGTTCCCCAGGGACATCCCGGGACGGAGGATGATGTGGTGGGGTTGCATCGAACTGCAGCCTGTACCCCTCGGAGATGGTACTGAGGACCTACCGGTCCGACGTTATACAGGACCAATGCACTCTGAAGGCCGATAAACGGTTGCCAAAAACCAACTTTATTAACTGGGGGGCTTCCCTGGCAACAGGCCAGGTGGCCCCCTGCAAAGAGTCAAAAATGCCTCTTCCTCTGCCTCTTGCCCTTCAAGGGGCCGGGGCGCGGGGCTGAATGGGACTGGTGCTGTGACCTGCGCCTCTGGTCCCTAGGCCTCTTAGGCGGGGGCTCGTATCTGCCCCTTACGGGGGGAGCCGAGGGCTGCGGCCTGGGTTTGTCCTTGGCTGGCGGGACATACAGGCCGAGAGTCTGCAGGGTGGTGCGGGAGTCTTTCATCCCGTGCAGATGCGTATCCGTGTGGTCTGCAAATAATGCCTTGCCGTCGAAGGGCAGGTCTTGCATGAGGGACTGGGATTCCACGGACAGCCCCGACAGCGAAAGCCACGACGCCCGTCGCATGGAGATAGCCGAGGCCATCGAACGTGCCACTGTGTCAGCCGCATCCGAGGCCGCCTGGAGAGCTGCTTTCGCCACTGCCGCACCCTTGTCGACTAGAGCCCTGAATTCCTTCCTGTCCTTTTCTTGGAGGGAGAGCTCGAATTTTGGCAGAGACCCCCACAAGTTAAAGTCATACCTGCTCAGGAGTGCTTGATGGTTTGCCACCCTGAGCTGGAAACTCGCAGAGGAATAAACCTTTTTTCCAAAAGTGTCCAGTCTCCTCGCATCCTTGTCCTTCGGGGTGGGTGCGGGCTGGCCGTGTCTTTCACGGTGGTTGACCGACTCCACCACCAGTGAGTTCGGGGTAAGGTGAGTGTACAGATACTCATGCCCCTTTGTTGGCATAAAGTACTTCCGCTCTGCCTTCTTAGAAATGGGCGGCAGAGAGGCCAGGGTTTGCCATAGAGCGATTGAAATGTTGGCTACCCCTTGGTGAAGCGGTAGGGCCACGCGGCCCGGTGCCGAGGAGGACAGGACATTAAACAAATTGTCCGATGATTCCTCCATCTCCTCCGCCTGGAGCTGGAGGTTGGTGGCTACATGCCGGAGAAGCTCCTGATGAGCTTTGAAATCCTCCTGAGAAGGAGGGGTTGGCGCCACTATGGACTCATCCGGTGCCAACGAGACAACCGGTACTGCCCCTAGGGCATCGGGCGGTGCCGATAGGTCGCACTCCGTGTCAGGGTCCGGTGCCAGTGGTTCGGCACCCGAGGACTGTTCTCGGTGCCGAGGCGGAGACGCCGAGGGCGCTTGGGATGCCCCAGCCACAGAGCAGGGCCTCAGTGGTGCGGGCACCTGGGGCCACGGTGCCCTCTGGCACCACTGTCCTTGCCATGGTGCCCCTTGCCACTGCGCCGGCTGAGGCCCAACCAGGGTTACACGTTCCTGAGGGACGGTGCGGCCTGGGGAAGGACGGGTGGGAGCCGAGGCTGAAGTGACCGAAGATCGCACAGTGCCGTAGAGCGGCTCGATCGGTCCCGTCTATGTCGGGTCCGGCCCC